CCCCACTGCTCTAAGCACAGATTCCCCAGGGCGCCCCTGCCCTGTGGGCTCTGCTGACCTGCCCCACCTGTAGCTGCAGGCATCCTCTTTAGGTGTCATTTAAAGAACCCTGTGAAATAGTAAGATAGAGTGTGTGAGGAGAAAGGGGGTTGCTCTGAGGAAAACATGAAGAAAAAGGGAAGGATTTCTGCAGAAAGGAAAGAATGAGTGAAGGGCACTGCTGTGCAAGTCCAGGAAGCTTGGGGACTCTGGCAACGTGGCCCGCAAGGGAGAGGCCACTGCCTGGGATAAGCCAAGAGAGTAGGCCAAGCAAAGGGCTGCAGCACGGCTCTGGTGCCCAGCAGCCAATTGGAGCTGAGTTGTCATCACCCTCCAGAGCTTCCCATTGTCTGGAGTGAGAACTTCTCATCGTCAGTCCCAGTCCCCCTCCTCTCCCCTCCCTCCCCCCACCCCAACAGCACTAAGAAAGGATTTCATGTCTTCAGTGTCCCGTAAGGGTGACAGTCATCATTGTCACAGGCTGTGCTGGGACCCGATAATTCCCCGTGTGAACACACAACTTTCTCTAAGAGAAGATACCCAGAAGCCCGAGGTAAAGGATTGGGGTCCCGAAGGAGTAGGGCTGGGGCGTCCCTCCCTGTCCTGGTGAGGGCTGAACTGCACAGAGGAAGTGGCAGCCGCAGCCCGAATGTGAGAGCACATATGAGCCAAAGGAGCTGCCTGCATGGATGGAACTAGAGAGCATTATGCTAAGCGAAATAAGCCAGTCAGATAAAGATAAATATCACATGATCTCACTCATTTATGGAATATAATGAACAACATAAACTGATGAACAAAAACAGATCCAGAGACAGAGAAGTATGGATCAGACCATCAAACCTCAAAGGGAAGGTAGGGGAGGGTGGGGGTAAGGGGGAGAGATCAACCAAAGGACTTGTATGTATGTATATAAGCCTAACCAATGGACACAGACAACAGGGGGGTGAGGGTATGAGGGGGGGTGTGGAGGAATGGGGGGATAAGGACACATATGTAATACCTTAATCAATAAAGATAAATAAATAAATAAATGAATAAATAAGGAGCTTCCTGCCACCCCTGGGCATTGCAGGCAGAATAATCTAAAGCAGGGGTGGGCAACCCCTGGCACATGTGCCAAACATGACACGCCAGTAACTATTGCTGGCACACGAAACCCTCTCTTATAATCTTCCATTTATAATTTTTGTGAACATTTGAATGACTTAAATTTTAAATTACAAGGAATTAGCAAGACACTTGATGTTATGTTTGGTTACATAAAGGCTTTTGAAAAGAAACTGGAAGTCTTTAAGAGGGATGTGGATGGTGAGAGATTTAGATATTTCCCAAACCTCAAGAGGCACATCAAAGACCTCCCAAAAGATGACAGAACATACTGTCAAAGCCTTCAAAAGCTGTTTTTAAACATCATCGAGTCAACTATTGAGCAGTTCTTCTCAAGATTTGGGAAATTCGGAGAACTGGAAGAGAAATTATTTCCCTCTCTCTTCCACTTTCCAATTGGTTCCTCCTTGGAAAACTAAGAAAAGGCTTGCCAGAAATGGGACACTGGCCAGCAAAGATGGCTTCAAGGATAGCTCTAGGACAGGGGTGGGCAACCCCTGGCACGCGTGCCAAACATGGCACGCCGGTAACCTTTGCTGGCACGTGAAACCCTCTCTTATAATCTTCCCTTTACAATTGTGAATCTTTGTTCTCAGTGATGAATTTTGTTAAGTCTCGTAATAGGAGTAGCCTGATGGATGAAAGTAGTAGCTCGTGCATATCTCTGAAGGTCACGAAATACAAACCTGATGTAAAATCTGTGTCATCAGTGATGGAGCAGCAAAAATCCCACTGATAATATCAAACAGAGTCAAAGTTTTCTGTCGGTCTATCAGTGTACATGTATAGATTAAAAAGAAAATGCATTTTTTATCATTATATACTGTTTTTGTCGCTCGAATTTTATTATTTCTTCAAGGTTCTTCACATACGTCCACCTTAAGAGATATCAAGTAGGCATAACATGTTCTCAAAAAATTAGGGTTGGCATACAGAAGAATTTTGAGTCAGAGATTTTGCTGGTTTTGGCATGCACTCACAAAAACGTTTCCCACCCCTGTTCTAAAGGAATTGCTTCCCTGGAAATTTGACTCTTGCAAGATCAATCTCAACTAAGTTTAATTTTGGTAATTTCAATTTCAACTTTTTCCAAATTCTGTACATAAGATAAAACTATTAACATTTGCTATATCATGCTATTTCAAAAAAGTACATAATCCAATTTTACATCAAATATATAACTCACTGATGAAGGTGAAGGTGAAACGGTGCTGGGTAGCAATGGCCACCCAGTGAGGGGACATCCTGGCTTTAAACACGGTCCACCTACTGTTTACCAACACTTTTGTGTCTCTAGCTGCATCCTGTCCTCCCAACTCTGGTCTCCTAAATTAGCTCCTACCTTCCCCTGTACACCTACTCCTGCCCCCCGCCTGCCTAAATGGCAGCTCCATCCTCCTAGTTGCCCAGGCCCAAAGCCCTGTAGTCTCCATTCATTACTCTTTCTCTCCCAGCTCATGTCCATTCAGTGTGCCGGACCTTCTCACTGTCTCACATCACTGCCAGGTCACTGCATCAGCTGTTTCCCCTGCTTCTGCCTTTGTCCCCTTAGTGTGTGCTCTCAACATGGGACTCAGAAAGATCCTGTTTACACAAAAGTCAGATCACTCTGCACAGTTCCAAACTCTCCACTGGTCTGCTCACTCAGAGTAAGAGTCAGACCCTTGCCATGGCTCTTGAACCTACCATTCTGCCCACTCACTGCTCCCACCTCCCTGGCCTTCTTGCCACCTCAGGGCATTTGCACTGGCTCCTCCCTCTGCCTGGAAGGCTCCCCAGGATGTCCACATGGTTCCCTCCTCCCTCTGCCTGGAAGGCTCCCCCAGGATATCCACATGGTTCCCTCAGCACCTCATCTGGAGCCATCTTCTCAGGGAGGCCTTTTCTGCCCACCTTATTTAAAGCTGTAACCCTCCTGCTTTATGTCTCAAACCTCCTATTCCCATCCATCTCTGCTTCATTTTATTCAGTACTAGTTATTTCTCCCAATACACCATGTAATTTGTTTGCTCACTAAGAAAAGTCTGCCCCACCCCCATTCTACAATTTAAGCTCCTCAGAGGCAAGGATTTTTGTCTGTTGTCTGCTTTATTCCCCCTCCCCACCTACAACAGTGCTGACATGTCAAAGTCCCTCAGCAGTAATTGTTGAATGAGTGACTGAATACATAACTAACCTGTAGCAGCTCTGACAACAATATGTAGGTCCATCACATTATCATGAGAATCATCAAAAAATAATTTCATCTTTTATAGAAGTGCTTGTCAAAAAACTAATTATTAAGACCATCAATAATTACCTCAGTTAACGCCAATTCACAGAGTAATATAATGGCAAAGAGGTGAGGAAAGTCCCCTTCCACTAATAATAAAATAAAAGTAATAATAATAGTAGTAGTAGTAATAAAGCTAATATTTAATACTGGCAAAGGTATGGCAAGAAGAAGCATGTTGAAAAAACATGAGTATGAAAATAATTATTACAAGTTTTCTAAAAAATTAGCCTGTAAAAAGTTTAGATATGCATATCCCATAATTACACTTAAAATAGCTTATCCTAAGAAAACAATATGAAAGAAGGCAAATACGTATGCACTAAGGTTCCAATTGCAACATTATTGAAAATAGTTCAGAGTAAGCAGAATCCAAGAGCCAGTGGTACAATGGTTACCTCATTTCTACTGTTATTCCCCAGTAACCCACTTTCCCACCTGTGTCCCATCCACATTACTCTTCAGGTTGCAATTTCTCAAACACCATGTTCCTTGCTTTGGTGACATGTATCACAACTTATAACTGTGTGTTTCTTTCTGTGCTTGTTTTTATTGTCGCGTTCACCCATTAGACCAGCAGCTGCATGAAGGCAGGAGCTCTGTTTTGTTCACTGCTGCCATCCTCTATGATAGCTGCAGGCACAAAATAAGTACCAGAATTTGTTGAATAAATGAACAAACACTATTAGGAAGCCATGAAATATTTCTGAAACATTTTGGCATAGAAAATGCCTACAATATGATATTTACAGGAAAAAAACAAAACTCACATTTGTGTTATTTTAGCTACTATGCTGAAAATGCGTAGTAGCAGAAAAATGCATAGAAAGAAAACAAATTGAAAGAAAAATCCCATAATATTGAATCTGTCTGGGTGCTAAAATATAAGTAGTATTACTTTCTTCTTTCTATTTTTCTATATTGAAAAAATTTATATATGTATTATTTATATAATAAAGTGATACATTAAACCTACAATAAGAAGAATGAAAGGAAAAACAAAGACGTGCAGAGGATATTGCAGGAGCTGACACTGGCCAGCCATTGCAGGGCAGAGTGACAGGGCTAGGAGAGGTGCAGGCCGTTCTGTGTTCAAGATTTGTGAACAGTTGAAAACAGAGTGACATGGTCGGTGCCAGCCTGTAGGAGGAGCTCTCTGACAAACTGTGGCCCGCAGGTGGCGCCCAGCCCAATGTTCTTGAATATTAAACTATATTGGCACACAGCTGCACCATCCACTCACGTCTTACCTGTGCTGCTTCCATGCTAAGTAGTTACAACACAGACTATCATAGCCCAAAAAGCCTAAAACATTGACTATCTGGCCTTTTACAGATAATGTTTCGGAATCCTGGCCTCCAGGATGTACTATAGGCGGGAGAAACTACAAGAAGTGGTTATAGGGCCATCATTTTAAAGGTGCCATGAAGGTGACAGTTGAAGATAGCTAAGTCTTGATAAATGTCAGATGGAATAACAGAAAAAGGGTGAGGCATTCATATTTTAGACAGCTGCCACATTTTATATGATAACTATTTAAAAGTGCAGCAGGGAAAACAGTCATTGTTGGATGGGTTACCTGAAGGATCAGAATTGTAGAGACTTGCAGCTGTTGCCATGGGTCCTGGCGGGTGGATGGCACTTGCTGAAGACCTCTGACTGGCAATCAGGATCCTGCTCTTTGCAGAAGGTAAACGGGACATCGCGCCCAATCCCAACTGGGGCTTAAGGAGCATGGCGGAGCGGTAGAAGGTGGGAGGAACTTCGTAGTGTGCATAGGGAGGAGAACAAAATTCTTCTTTTCCAGGGAGTTCTGTAACCTATAGCAAATGAACAGAAGCTCAATCAAAGAACTCACATCGCAGGATGAGGACTGCACCTGCTCAGGACACCCAGCTCCAGCAATAACCACCTGGCATCTCTGAGTTGCTCCATCCCTGTTCACTTACCTTCTTGGGGCACAACTGTCTTCATTGTTGAGTTGACAACACACCTGGATGACCTCTCAGGTCTCCTCCAGTTCTAATAGTCTATAAATCTACATCTCACTGGGAGAAAAAAGATCTTATTTGGTAAGATTTTTTAATTTGATTGTTACTAAATCATCAGAATTTGTGCAAGTAGCCAATCTATAAGTCAATAATGTTAATGAAGCATGGAAAGAATTTGCAAGTGTTCATAGAATTATGAGTTTCATTATTCCTAAGGAGAAAAGACACAATTTTTATGGTAACATAGTCTTATCATAAAAAAATGAACTTTATTAATTTATGTTGTCTTTTCTAGGCTACTTATGAAATAAAACATGCACTGTTAATGAGGGAGAAAAGGCTATTTGAAAAAATATAAATTAATAGAAAAAATGTGTTTTCAGGCCTCCATAATCTATTTACGTCTTTGAAAATGAGAGACTGATTTACCTCCTCTGATTGTCCTCCCTCCTAAGGGCGGGCTGACAGG